CAGAACACATAATTCAGTTGTGTAGAAAAGACATTTTTCCTCACTGAAAATTCATCTAATAATAGGACAAAAGTAGAGAAGTGTTGGCTTTGTCCAGTTTTATTCAGTTTGAATGCAGTGTCAGGTAGATTTCACAGAGGTCATTATAGGAAATAATGCTTTTACAGTGATCTGTTTATTCTAGATCTTAAACACTGCATTTTTACTATTTTTTGCAAAGTCTGGATCATTATGTAACGTATTCAAATCAGAACTCTTTGCTGAATGTTTACCTAAGTGAAAAGAAATTTCTGGATTCTTGTCTTGTTGTGGTGTACGGGTTTTGTTAGCTGATTTGCTGCTGGAGAAAGCAGCAGTTATGATAAAAGGGATTATATAAGAGAGCTCCTGCTGAGAGTCCATGGCACTGTACAGGGTGATACCAAACACTGTATTCCCCACGGCAGGTACAATAATTAGCCACAGGACTGGCACTCAGTCTGAGGGATTAATTAGAACTGGAGGTGGTGTTGGAGAGAGGCAGAGCAGCCATAAAGAGTGTCAGGATCACTCTGGCCCGAAGCCTGTGTGATTTGATGTGAAATAGCAGCAGCTGGCTGTAACCTTAGGAAGTGCAAGAGAACAGCAGGTGGTAATTCCTGTCTCATTTACCATGTCTTCACAGGAACATGCAAGCTTGTGCAGCTTGGGTTTATTGGCAGGTCAGAAGGAAAATCCTAGAGAGGACTGTGACATTGACTATACTGAGCAAATGCAGTAGCCAAACTGGAGTGTGTGGAGCACAGTGTATAAAACCAGTAACACTGCTGCCTAGTGTTATCATACTTGCCTCTGACAAGGTTATGATGACCTTGCAATATTGACCTCATGTGGGCCAATGGACAAAGCTGAGAGTACTGTGCAAAATCCAGGACAGCTAGTGGGAATTACATCCTTCAAGGCTGTGATGAATGTAACAGGAGAGCTATTTCATCCAAGTAAAAAAATCAGACAGAGGAATGTTATGATGTTCTGGCATCCCTGGATTTTCTCAATAGCCATTGTATGGGGCAAGTAGGCTTTACCTGCACTTTCAGGTAGGTAATGTTGTCCCATGGCTGTTGGCCTCCATCAGGCGTCGTGTTTTGCTTGGCATTTGGGCAAAATGGCGGTGAGGCATGCAGCAACTGTGCTAATTTAGAAATTGTAACCAGCTAGCATTTCAGGGTGAGCTTGAGTAGCTGTCAGCAGAGGAATTTAGTAGACCAGTGGTCGCTGTTGATGACTGTAGTGTTTTGTATTCTGTTAGGGCCTCCCAGGGTGTAGAACAAGAACCCTTCCTATGTGCAGTTCAAGAATCAAACCAAATAAAGAGAAAATTGAGTAACTTTGAATCCGTCATTCAGAACAGCCTTCGATAGGGAAAAAATAAAACAGATCCAGGGGATATTTGTGGCTATATTTATAGCAGAGTGACAGGAAAGGAAGAGAACTCATTTTGTGGGAAGGATAGCTCTTTTTATGCCCTTTTAGAAGCTCATTGTGTGCCAGCATTATCTTTCATGGATGCCAGAGGATGCAATGCCTTCTAAAGCCTCCCACACGTGCAAAAACTATGGGCCTATTGTAGTGTCTTTGCTGGGTTCCATTTAGCATTCCCATGTTTCTGGCACTCTCCAGAAATACATGTTAGTCATGGGGAGATGGTCCAGGTCCAAACTGGCATTTCATGTGTCTGACTGTTAGGTCTAAGATTATGACCACTTTGGGCAAAGGAAGGAGAGTTTTTTCCTACTTGGGAACAAACTGGAAGAAGTAACTAAGCTGCAGATGGAAGAATGGGAAGGACCCTTTTCTCATATGTTGTTTATGTAGGCAAAAAGCTGCAGTACTTGCCTCTGTGGTGTTGGGAAGCTTTGGGAATGCTGGGGCTGGACTGTGCAGTGCTGAACGTAAATAGTTCTGTGTACAGCTACACAAGTCTTTCCAGTGTCTTTCATTTCTTCTCAAGGAGAAAGAAAATCTTTCATGACAAACCACTGTATTTTCTGAATAAGTGCCTTTCTTAATTCTCAGTCCTCCTTCATGCTGAAGATGAAATAAATCAAAATTAATATGAATTTAAAACATCAAATTGCTAATGTGCTAATTTAGAGGTAACTGAAAATTACTGTGCTGTAATTCTAAAGGCTGATGAGTAAAAATGAAGTTGTTTAAAAATTTTCTGTTTATCTATTTTTTCAATAAATGTCAGTTATTGCTTGCTATTCAGATTTATCTTCTTATGTAGGTTTCTTGTTTGTGCTCATTTTCATTACATGGGTGTTGTAGTTTTATCTGGGGGAGAAATGGATCATGGCTAATGAGTCACAGATGTAAAGATTCTGACACATTACTCTCTAATAACTTCTTTAACTTATATTCCATAATAGCATAAATGAAAACTTGATACATCTGTTTCCTAAATGATGTATCATTCCAGTCTTATCCGTGTCTCAGGAGTGAGTCCCTTTATATGTTGTGAGTTTTAGCCTTTTTTGGTTTTGTTTTCTGTTTATTTGTTTCTAAAGAGGAGATTTCAGGTCACTGAGCAATGCATTTAAGCACACTGTGGTTCATCCCAATGAAGTGGGAAAGCTGCATTTAACCACTGGCTTTATAGGATCAACTTACAGAGTCTCAGCTTCATCTCATGGGTGTAGAGCAGGAATAAAAATGCTAAATGCAACTCCAAGATGCTAGTGAAGACATGTATGCATCAAAAAGTAACTCTCCCTTTTTTGTAAAGACTGGTGCAGTCTTTGTGATCCACAGGCTCTCTGGTGTGATGAACAGAGCAAGTATTTGCCACATGAAAAGAATCTGCTGCAGCTGAGAGACCTGGCAGGCTGCCCTGGCCTGTTGGTGCTCCCCAGCAGGCCAGCCGGGCTGCGAAGAGCTCGTGTGCTGCAGCAACATGGGCTGCACCAGCAGAACCTTCACACTGAAGGGCCCGTGCCTGGCAGCCAGAGCCGGGCACAGCCTTCCCTTTAGGAGGTGCTAGGCTGGCATGGTGCAGCTCTTTGCTCCAGGAGGAGCCCCCAGAGGGGCTGTGCTGCCAACTCTGCCTCATAAAGGCGGTCTGTGGGCATATAGGGGCCTTAGAGGTCCCTGGATGTATTTTATTGAATGTTCCTCAGCCTAATGTCTCTCTGCCATTGAACAAGCCTCTGCTTCTAGCAGTGTGTGCTATGCTAAAGGCAAAGAGAGGACTTAGGAATTTCCTTCTCTTTAGGAATTCACTGCTCAACTGCATAAGGTTTTGGCTTTATCAGAAGGTTTAATTCACACCCTACAAGGCAGTTTAAGAAAGGTGTTGAACTGAAAGCAAAATTCACTCCCTTACAGTGTGACAGCAGGCCACAATCACCACACCCTTCCCTTTTTGTGCTAGTACAGTACAAGTTCAGCACATCTCAGTAGAGTAGAATATGAGAAGCCATATGTGGCATATAGCAACTGAGGGGGTAAAAATGGATATGAAAATACTGCTGTGTATGTCTTGAAAACTTTGACCATTATGGACTACCCAAGATTTAGCAGTAGATTTATGTTCAGTGTTCCTGGTTGTTTATGTGCTACCAATTGTGTGCTGAATGTCATATGTTAAGCAGAATGTGAGGAGCAGGATATTAATTATGCAAAGCTCTTCAGAGCATACTGTCATTGCTGTCAGCTTCTGCAGCAATCCAGAGTCAAGGCTTTCCACATAGATCTCAAAGTGCTGTAGTACATTTCCATTGAAAATGGCTCAGCCATCTGCTGGCTGATAGTCTTAACAATTTTCAAATGATCATAAGAATTTATTGTAATTTTAAGGAGAGACCCCTTCATGGGATTGCTCCTTCTAAAATCTCTTGATATTCTCATTGTGAAGAATCAGCTTGCCTCTGCAGCGCAGTGCAGACCTCGCTCTGTTTCCCATATGACAGAGAGGCCATTTCCTGTCTGTTGGCAGTGTGGGGTGTACTAAACGTGGTGTTTGTTCTGTTTATGTGTCAGTAAATGGTCTCTGTGATGTTTGTGTTGTGCTGTTCTCGTACCATGTTGTGCTGTGTCCCTAGGGTCTGCCAGGCTTCCCCACAGTTGCTGCTCTGCACAGTAATCAGATCCTCACCGTCAAGGTTTGTGGCTGACATGTACCTGTTCAGTCAGGTCTCTCTGTATCAGCATAAAAGTGCACATGAAAAATTGTTTTTAGCATGGAAACCAGTGAATTCTTATGGTGGATCTAAGCCAATCCTCACTGCCTTTGCATTGATCTAAGTACTTCTGATGCAGAGCATGGAATCAAATCTATAGCTGTGTACCCCTGGAAATGCCTACATTCCCCATGGTCTTGGTCAGGATTTTATTTTCAGATGAATTTTTCCTGTTCTGCTTCCCTGAGGCATACATGAGTGTGGAAAATGTCAGTGAACTCTATACTGGTTACATGTAGAGTCAGATATTTGTGTTAGATATCAGAGGTTTAATCTGTACATCCAGATTTTTTCAACGTGGATTTGCAAATTAAGCAGGAAACAATCTGGTCAAACTGGACCTTCAGACCTTATAAAAATAACACCATTCTTCATGGCACACTATGCTGGTTAGAAAATCTGACTGAAAGTTGAACTGGTGCTTTGTCTCTAGAAGCTTTGCTGAAAGAACAAAATATAAAAATACTGATTTTTAGAGCCTGAGTAATGAAAAAAATGAATACAAATGCAGAATTCTTATGGAAAATCTGGGGAGAAAACAGTTATGCATTTAAGTCACTGTATATGAATTAAATCATAGCAGTAGGACCTGTACAATAGAGGTAATCTTTTTCCAAAGTAAAATGCACAGTTTCTTTCAGGCAGAAGCACCAGTTCATATTATAACAGCTATTACAAATCTAATGAATATGTCTTTATTTCTTTCTCGGGCCTTCTGATGTCTATTCTTCAATTCTCTCATCTCTGATCTTCAACCTTTGACCTCACCTGCCTGATCAGATGGTGTTTCCTAAAATCAATCATGGGTTTCTCTCTGCTGATCAGCAGCTCATTAAACGCCGCCTCATTAAGGTAGTGCTTCATCTCACTGGAGTCTGGTTCTTCTTTACATTCAGTTTGCTCTTTGCTGTACCTTTTTGTCAGATGCCTTCTTTAGCAGGTTGTTCACTTGAAAATGCTTTGAAATGAGGCAACTGTTAATGGTATTAACTGTTAAAAGACTATGGGTGGCTTTGCTAAGTGAGCCATGTTTGCCGGCAGCTTTTTTCCAGCAGTTTGCAGGGATGTGCTGGAAATAACTAAAGCACCATTTTGGGGTGTCTTTTCTTTTTTAGAGGGGAAGGTAATATGTTTTGACAACTCTCTTGAAAATTGACTTTAACAAATTAATAGGTAAAAATGAAGAGAGTTAGCTAATTGTCACTATAAAACAGCCTCCCAAAACAGATGGGAAATTATGTACAACTCCATCAAGAGGCAGTTATTTTCCATGCTCAGTTTTATAATCTATCCATGCATCATTCATGGGCTTGGAAAATTACTGTGCAAATCTGTATATTCTCAGATGCAACTTTTCTTTTTGCCTCAGCTTTGTTATGATTATGCAAATCATGAAGCAAACAGATGCTTATCAAAAACAGTCACTTGCTCTGGAGAACTAGATGAGTGAAATATTTCAAGATCATACCAAATTTTGGCATATGCGCTGTGGTAAAACAAGCAGTTTAGAATCTGAACCTTCTGCTCTGTGGCTGATTGCACTGGACCTATACAAACTGTTGGTCTTCAAGGCAAAGTGCTGTTTCTGCCATAAGCAGTGAAGAAGCCCTTGTCCAGTTCATGGCAGCTTCTTCCAGCCTGTCTGGCACTCTTTATGGGTGAATTGATGTGTTTTTTATGTAGTTGATGCCTCTAAAGCCAATGTTGTGATGAGTTTTTTATTGGTTTAGGGTGACCAAGGACAAGCTGGACCCCCTGGACCTCCAGGGCCACCAGGACCCAGAGGTCCCCCAGGAGACACCGGCAAAGATGGTCCTCGTGGGATGCCCGGCTTAACGGTGAGTTACTCTGCTGCTGCTTTGGTGTGTGCATTTCTCTCAAGTGTTTGCCAGCAGAGTGTCAAAGACATTTTCTGAGGTCAGATTGGCAAGTAAGACATGTGGAAGCTGAACCACAGGCAAGTTTCAGGGTGTACCTGAAGTCCCACACACACAGAGCAAGTGTATAGCAGGGCCAGAAGTACCGCCTAGGTTCCTTGCCTCCCACCCCTGGCAGTTTCCCTACACTTTCTAAGGTTTCTCAGTCATTCACTGATGTTTAATAGCTGTGTGAGGAGAGTCTGCCCCTTTCCACGAGTAATAAATGTTTCTATTCAAACTTCAAGATAAAACTGAATTTGAGGCCTCATAGCATAGCTTGACTTCTCACTTCTTAATGGTTTTACCTCAAAAGTCATGGAATAAAGTAATAAACTGCTAAAGCTGCCCAGGGTATGATGAATTTGGGAGTTAGATTCTGCCATTTTTAAACAAGAAGAACAGTACCATTTTCTTTGGCTCAACCACCATGTTTCATTAGGACAAGCAGCAGAATCCAGTATATTGTGTATTGTTTGTTTTAGGCACGCGGTGAATCCCACACTTTTTTAACAGATGTCTAAACACATGATTTTTTAGAAAAGTATGTGTTTGGTTTTAGTTTCATCTTTTGTGGCTTCCATAACTTTTATTCCTTTGAAAAAAGTGTCTCTTTTCACCATGAATGGCACTGTGTTATCAGTGTGGAAATAGAATTACAGGCAGGAGAGAGACATGAAAAATAAAATGGCACATGCACAGATGCACACACATATTCACATCCATGAAAAGTGAAGGTTGTTGCCAGGAAGGCACATGGGGAGCCAGCAAGGTGAGGACCAGCACTGGAAACAGAAACTGGTTTCTTGAAGAAAAAGTATCACTTGTTACATGGGGCCAGGACAGCATAAATTTTTCCTGCAGGACCTTTTTTAGCTAAAACTGAGAAAGAAAATACCTACACTCCTGTTCTAACCCTGTTCAGGTATTAGCTGTCTAAATGTAATATAGCATGGTAATAGTAAGATGCTTCTAAAATTTCCGTGAAAATCCAGCAAAGCTGGCCAGTTGAGACATCTAGGGCTCTAGAACTGCTGCTGCTGTTGTTGTTTTGGCTTGGCTGTTTTACCACTCCTGCGCTCATAAGTTCTAGCTCAAGGTTATGACATGACATTAGAAGTCTGTAGTTCTCATGATGCTTTACTTGGGCAACCTTCCCATTTCTTGTTAGACCTGTGGCGCATCAGGCTCTGGGCCTCTTCTAGGACTCCCTTGTGTTCATTTATTGTGGTTAAATGGACTGTAGTCAGCAGAGTTGGTGCTAGTTTGATCTAGTAAGGGCAAGACTGAAACCAGAATCCCTTTCTGACTGCAGTGATAGTGTTTTAATAGTTCACATACATAGATGGGGCTGGCAGAATCCACTGGCCTTGCTAGTTACAGTGTGGCTGCATGTGGCTTTTTTTTTGTGCTTTTAGCGAAGGGGTCATTAGTGTTTCTCATAACAGGAGAGTCATGCATTTTATGCAATGAGGTCATTTCATTTTATAATAGTTCTGTAGTGATTATGACTTTAGATGGCAAGAGAGAGTTTCTTTTTATAGTTTTTAAGCTGTGGCTATCTTAAGCCCTATAACATTATGGAAAATCAGTTCATAGTACTGCTTTAGAATCAGATACAAACAAGCACTCAGGTAAAAAACATCCAGTTTGCTCCCCCTTGCTACTGTTCTGTACCCTCAGGTTAATGTTCCTGGTCCTCAGAATGCTTGTTCCTCCATGAGTGTGTGAAACACACAAATGGGAGAGCTGTAAAGGGAGAACTTAGCTGAGAGGGAAGGACAGCTTTGTCTTTGAGGTAAAGACTTGTGTGGATCTGGTGAGCTGAAAACAGCAGCTGCACTGTGCTATGAGCTGGGGACTTGCAGCATCACACAGCTATAGGAGGGTCTCCTTCTAGTGACCAGTGACCATTAGGCAAACATTGCCTCTTTTGTAGGATTAGACAAAACAGGGCTTCTCTTCCAGCCTGTCCTTCTCAAGGAAGAAGGTTTACAATTGCCACAGCTGTAAGATGGTGTTTTGGGGCAGTGCCTGGCCAGGAACGTGTGCCTCCATGGCTTCTTGCTCCCAGCTGTCCTTGGTGTGCTTGCAGATGCTGCCTGTGTGCTTCTGAGTGCAGTGCATGCACAGCCAGAGAAGCAGCTCTGATTCTTTTCAGTTGCCAGGAACAACGACATCAGAACAGCTCTCATCAATTTTATGACAGGCTTTCTTTTATGACAAAGCTGCTAAAGAGGACCCTGGAGCTGTGCTGATACAATAGTGCATGGACTGCCCTGTGCTCAGTTGGGTTTTCAAGGGAGTGATGTACAAACCAGACCACTAAAATGATAGGAGCTCTGGGTTTCTTGGATGGGTATTTTTAGCCCATATTTTATGACTGATGTGTTTTACTGTATATGTGTTCATATGGGAAGAAAGGGGAGAAGATAAATTCTGACTGTATGTAGAGTTGTGCCCACAGAAAGGCAATACATTGGGGAAATGATGGGTTGCCATTTTGAAAGCCAGTCCAGGTATTTAACAGCTGAGTAATTATTTCATGGCTTCAGAATATCAATATTCATGGTTTTATGGAACATGGTAATTGACAACAGTAAGTTCTGCGTGCTGACTGAGGTGATGATACAGACCTGTAATCTTGGAATATATAAACTGTGGGATGCAGCACATATGTGAAAATAACCTTTCTCTGTGTCCTTTAACATAGTGGAATGGAATACTGTGTTTAGAGCCAAGGGACAAGAGTCAGAACACCAATACTTAGCTCTTGACTTGAGAACTATACCATTACACGATTGCGAAGTAGTACTTCTTAAGATGTCTGTAATTTGGACTACCAGGTTAAAAAGCAAAAAATTAATATGTTTAATGTGTAGTTAGCTGCCATACCTGTTTTAAGATTGAAATTTTAAAGATATTTTGTATTACTAGATAGAAAACTGGAATCAAGATGTGTTGCTGAAATAATTCACTCTTTTTTTTTTATTTGAAGGGTGAGCCCGGAAAACCAGGAGAACAAGGATTGACAGTAAGTATCCTTCCAGTTTTCTAAGAAAGTACAACATGACATATATCTAATAAAATGAGAAATTCCAAAAAGCTTTATGGCTGTGTATTTCCTGACCTTCCTCTGTCACAGGCTATTTGAAGCCTTATTTGTGAAGAAAACAGAAGAAAGGAAATGTCCTCTGTTTAAATATGGTCATCTTTTACATAAGGCCAACTTCTTTAAGCTTGGAGAAGCACAAGGAAATAAACCAGCTAAGGGCACAGTAAAACAAAAAAGAACCAAGCCAGGGTTTCCCAATTCCTGGCCCCCTCTTCACACTGGCTCTGCAGCTGAGCTGTTTCTACCTTGAGACCATTGAGCAGCACAGGAACCATCTGCATGTTTTACAGGCCAAAATTCAGGCAGTCTCTCTGGCAAGGGCTCTGGACCTTTGCCTGACAGAGCAGTGAAGAGGCAGCACTGAAACCATCAGAAAGTTTTTCCGTTCTGAGGTTCCTTTTTTTTTTTCTCTGTGTGTGTCAAATACTTCCGATTCATTTGGAATTAAATTGAAGCTCCACTGGTTGTAAATCAGCTTTAGCCACAAGTTAAGGCATCATAAGTTTCTGCCTGTCACATATTCCCAGAATGGTGGAACATGCAATGCTTCTTCTCCCTTAAAATCTCTCTAAACACGGTCGGTTTTATTTTTATGAGAGATGACAGATTGTAGCTCAGGGCATGTGGTTTTGATTCCTGAGTGCTTCTGAGGAGGAGGATTATCAGTAATAATCAGCTCAACAATCAGTGCAGATATGATTGCTGTCTGAATTTGTGAAAATTTAAACAGGTGTGATGATATTTTACCTTGACAAATTGAAAAATATTTTCAATTGACAAAAGCCAGTATCTTTTGAAAGAAAAAAAATGAAGATTCTGAGACTTGGGACTATCTGCTGTGATCAGGTAGTTGAAGTTCTGTACTTATTCATTTTGCTGTAATGGTTTATTAATTTTAAGATCAAAGCCTCCCAAAGGTACAAACTCATGTTAGTAGCCTGCTGCTGGACTCTTTTTTACTCTGTTCTTTTGGTTTCTGAGTGCTTGTGGAGAATAAATACAATAGATAAGAACGGAACGTTTTGGTTTGTTTTCTTGTATTTGGAACATTCTCCAATTTGACCTCTGGACAGAACTCACTCAGGTTCTGCAAAAGTGTCCTTCTATTGAACATCAGATCTGCAGAGTCACAGGATCCTTGATGGCTTTTAATCCACCACCTTTTAGTCCCCATGTTCAGAGCATTCCCACTGCTCTAACGTAACTGTCTGCGCATAAGAACTAAAAAATACTACTACTATGTTTCCCTAAATGCAGATATGTTTAGATAGGAAGAAAAGGTGTTTAAAAATCAAATCAGCAGGCTTGAGTTGGAGAAAGATCCCAGATTACATGAATTTCCAGCTCCAAATGTCTGCTTCAAAAGTCAGTCTGACAGTTTAAATGTTAGGTTATGTATAGATCAAGTAAAGAGCATCAGAGTGTCAGGGAGGTAATTAGTTTCTTTTTATTCTTCTTGGTGCTTCTGACATGCTCTTTATGCCAGTACAGATTTGCAGACTTCTCTGTGGAAAATGTTACAATTATTCAGGGACTGTTCAGCTGTTTCTGACAACTTCCGTCATGCATTTCATGTATTTCCATATTGGAAATTCAGATACTGCTCCAGGAATAGCTGATTTCCCAACAGGTATGTTAAAATATTGCATTGCTAGAAAAAATAGTATATTATGTGGTGAGGAGCACAGGCCTTTTTCTGCCTGAGGTTTTTTTTGTGCATTTTTCACCTATTATCTTTTCAAAGTAAAGGAAAATGGGGATCTCTGCCCAAAGAAGCTTCTGTGTTACTTCTGCAGGAATTCTTTTGTAAGGACTTGCCTCTGTTTCACCCCAAGAGTCTCCAGTCTGAGTTAGCTTCCTGTTTTTCTTCTTGATGAAATTGAAGCTCAGAATTCAATGAGATCCAAAAAGTACTACCAGTCCTGTCTCCCGAAAGTCAGTATGTTGGAGTGTGCTGTGGTTTCCTGCTTGCCCACCTGTCCAAGGCCCTTTTCACTAAGAAGCAATTACTGTGGCATATATTCTGATTCTTCCTCCAAGATAGAGGTAGGATGCTGCCAAGAAGAGCACTAAATGCTGGAAGGGGATCCATACAGTTTGGGTGACATGCTGAAGGTTGGGAAGATGAAGGCTTTTTGTGGCCTATAGGGTCACACTCTCTGAGGCTTTAAATCTCATGCTGCTGTTCAAGTTAAGGATAGCAGCAAGCCTGACCTCTGGATTATAATGATGGGGACAGAACATTTTCCTCTTTCAAAAGCATTTTTTACACCTGTATTTGGTAGCAAACCTTGATATTTCTAGATGAATGTACATGATATTGATAGAGTTGGCAAATTTAGTGTGAACCTGTGAACCAACAATGGCATAGCTTGAAATTACTTCGTTTTCTATTTGCTCACAAAAGAAGGGGAATAAATTTCTTGAAGAGTACAAGATGTTGCAACAGAAATAGGTAGCAGTGTTTTCCAGCTTGTTCCTCAGGATGTACCATGAGCCTGTGACACACACTGAGTAATGAGTGACCTACTGTATGAGTCAGTACTTACAGGTAACCAGGGCAATGAGGAAGCCTCAGCTGAAATGCAAAGAGCAGATTTATTTCATCACCTTGCTGACAACACTGGGCAGTGGAGACACACAGAGACCCAGCTCTGTTAGGCTCAGTTCACCCTAGTGCACAGAAAGGATGGGATGGGGCTGCTGCTGGCCCCAATATATCAAAGGTTTCCTGCAGGAGCAGATTATCACAAGGCTGTGCTTCTATGCTCACTCCTTCTCCCAGCAGAAAGAGGGCTCAGGCATGTCTGACAGGGTGTTGTCTCCACACAGGAATTCTGCTTCTCAAAACAGGCAGAGGATGAACAACAGCAGACATAATAACTAGAGTTTCCCCACATGAAAATGCTTAGTGTTCCCAGCTGCAAGGTCACTTTGAGTGAAGTTATTTCATCCTTAACATATCTTGTGGGTTTAACCCTTTCCTCCCAACACCTGCAACAATGTGTACCTGGATTTACAGAAAGTTGAAATTATTTTAATGCATTTGGAATTCTGGGAATGTTTATGTTCTCCTTTCAGTGAAACAGAAAATCCGGTGACTCTTGTGAAAAGATGGCAATTTTCTGTAACTGAGAATCTGCTGCCATGTGTTTCTTCTAATTTAATGAAGTTCTGTGTCCATAAATAAAAAAGAAAATGATGTTTCGGGGGGATGTTTTCGGGGGGATGTTTTGAGAGAGGGCAATAATAACTTTTCTCCCTCTCAGACAGGAGAGTTTTACTTTGACCATACACAGAGAATGACAGTGTTGGAGTTCTCTGACATGAATTCTGCTTTGGCTCAAGAGAGTTCATCTTTGAGACAAGGAATGGCCTTTCTTTTTCCCTCTTTCCATTGTAAAGAAAAAAAAAAGTGTGGGTTATGGCATAGTGGTGGGACAATTTAGGATGTGAGAGATTCAGTTGTTTCTTATAGGAGTCTCTGTTAAAAATCATTCCAGGTTGTTCTAGTGCCAGCATGTTTCTTTTGCTGCTCTGTCCTTGCAGTTGAGATGTTTGGGAGAACTCTTTGCAAGGGTTTTTGACTCTGTAAGTTGCTGTGTCAGGAAGAATATGTTTGCTTTTTGTGCCAAGAAATTTCAGTTTCTTTTTAGGTGAGATGGAGGTTTAAGTTATAAAGATGTGACTGCATGCCTCTTTAATGTTAGAAGAGAATGAAAGAATGACTTGCAGTTTAAATTTTTGTCTGGTTTCCATGACATTGGAAAGCCCTGCAGATGTACTTTCTTCAAGAGCTGAAGGTATCATTGCTCTGTGCAGAAAGGATTAAGAGAATTCAGGGGGAGGCCAAGCAGTGGGGTGACCAAAGGGATTAAATTTTGAAATATTATGTGGAACTAGAAAAATGTGTGCTACTCAAGAGAGAAGGGCAGTAGTTTCTGCAGCTTTTCAACCTTTTCAGTTAAAGTTGTGTCCTGCTCTCATAATTCATCCTGCTTTCCCTGCCCTTTCCCTGCCATTTGTCTGCAGTTCTTGGTGATAAGGACTCTTAAGTACCATGCAAGAGTTTTTCCAGTTTATTTTCTCATTTTTGGAGTGAATAATAGATGGGTTTGTGATTCCTTTCTACCCAAGAGTTAGGATTTCTGGTTGCAGACTATTCATGAGAAGTTAGAGTCAGTGATGGAAAATATTAAAGGCTGACACTGGCAGATGGGCATGTTCAGGTTCATAAACTGCAATGGGATAGAAGGTGTGCATGGGATGGTTTTGTTCCTAATTTACATTCAGGATATATTTTTTGTGCTTTTATGTGTACAGTATTTTAAACTAGTTCATATTACTAAAAATCTGGAATATTAAAATGTGCTGTTTTCAGCTCCTTTTTTCTAAAGTAAATTTAAACATGTTTAGTGTACAACCACATTTGTCGGTGAAAGAAAACCTCAGTGTATTATTTTCTTCCCCAAAATGGGCCTTAAAGACATATAAGTAATTTTGCATATGTTTTACATGAACAGAACACTCCAGAATAACCAGAGAACCCAGGTAAAGGTGCCTTTTTGCAAAAGAAATCTATACTATGATTATTAACCCAAATGCAAAATCCCTCTGCTTTAAGATACATTGTTTTCCAAAGTAGTACTTTTGTGCTTACACAGACTTGCTGGGCATCTGTTCAAGAAAGTAAAACATAATGTTATTGCTTTCACTGGTTATTCATAAAAAGGAGGATGTTCTTCCAAAGGCTATAGCCATATTTGTGTAAGACAGTGGAAAAGTGTAACCTTGCAGTTAAGTCTGTAAAATGTCACATCTTAAAATGAATTAATACTATTTTTCATCTTAGGTTAAAATGAACTCTCAGGGACCAGGCAGATTGTCTGGGAAGTTCTGCTGGTTTCAATCCAGCCTTT